AAATCATACATTTGACCTACAGAGCTAGTATATAACAAACAATTCTGATACTCAAACTTCTCAAATTTTATTTATTTACTGCGTTTGTTGGAGAGAAATTTGTCCAAGAAGCTAAAAGATCAACAATATGCTACAAACAACATGACAAAGGCTGACATGCATAAAAGGGCTTGGACCCCGGTCATAACTGCTTTGCAGTTCTAGTTTTTTTTTTTTTGTTTTTGTTTTTTTGGAGGTGAGCAGCATGGACTAGAGGAGAGACTTTTCCAGAGATAGTGATCATCAGGCAGAGTGGCTGATGGCAGGTGAAGTTTTCTTTGGAGCATTGGTAGAAGATTGGTTCCTTAATTACTTCCAGATTCGAGGGTTCCTCCTGATGGCTGGTAATCTGAGGCACATGGGTAATCCACCTTGGCAAAAGAGACAGAAGGTAAGCTTAAAGCTTCTAGACAGAAAGTTTACTTAGCTTAGTTTACTATCATAAATGTAAGATTTTACTATTATATTATATACTATTATATAAATAGTACTATTGGTACAATACTATACTATATAAATATACTATTATATTTTACTATTTACTATTTTAGAAATTAATCTTGATTTGATGTTTCAATTTTCATTGCTTATGTTTAATTTTGTTTTCTGTTTCATTTTTATCTTTCTGCCATTTTTATACTGTTGATGATTGTACAGCACCTTGTGAATATGTCTGTGAAAAGTGTTTTATAAATAAAACTTTACTTACTTACTTACTTACTTTACTTACTTACTTTCTTACTTACTTACTTACTTACTTACTTTTACTTTTACTTTTACTTACTTACAGGAAAGCAGAAAACAGCCAAATCATCACATAATCATTCACACACATTCACACTGATGATGGTAAGCTAATACATTGTAGCCACAGCTGTCCTGGAGCTGACTGACATCTAAATATTAGTTTCATATAAAACTTTAAAAAAAAACTTTTTTTAAGTAGGAGGAGCTTTAAAATGCCCCTCATGATGCCACACCCCCTACTGTTCCAGAACCATTCCTTTGATTAAAAAAAATATCTGCAACAAATTACAAGCTATTTGGATCAATTTACTATGAGCTATTAGCTTTTATTCTGTGCTTTAATGGACTTGCAACAGGTTCAGGGTTCCACCTTGCTTGATGACTGAGAGACACCAGCTCCCCGTGAGCCAAAAAGAAAAACACAGGTAAAGAAATAGATGAATGGATCTCTTAATGATTAAACACTAAAATGTGTTCAATACACCTGCGTTATCTTGCTTTCAGTTTTGAATCCTGTCTTTCCCTACCTAAAACTCAGATTCGTCCAGGACTTGGAGGGAGACGCTGCAGACATAAATCAAGAAGACAAATGGCACAGAGAGTGTGCTATCAATTACCTTACAGTGAGTCTGCTGCTGTCTGACAACCCTGACATCTATACCATCGGACTGAATGTCTGTGCTGTGACTAAAAGCCATTTGACAGACCACATACAATCATTACAATATAATAGTTGACAGGAATCATTTTAGACACCAAGAGAAACACCTGGGCTCCATGTTCTGTTGCTCTGGTTAATCACTGCTCTCCAGACAGCTGCTAAATGCTGCTGCCTTAACAGGCTTAAAGACACCAAGTGAAACTGTTGTTTATGGACCATTGATGACTAGCTGCTAAAGCTAAGAGCTAACATGAATGCATGCTTGTGTGAGAATTTCCTGTCTGTGAATGACTGCAAAGTGTGGAGGCATGAGGTCAAAAGTAATAACCATCATCATTATCTCAAACCTTTTACACCTGGGATGTAGTATTATGACACAATTTAACCACAAATCTTTTCTAACTTTTGAAAACTTTCCTTATTAAATGGCTCAGTGGGATTTTTCTTTTAAATGACTCGACTTTGGACAAGTCTGAAACATGTCTGAGCAGACCCAGAAAACTCTGCTGTCTGTCTGTTAGCAGCAATATCTAGAGTGACCCCTGGCTACAGCTTAGATCTCCATGCTGCAGCTCGAGTGCCTCAAAGCAAGTCAGGCAGACCACCTGGGCTCTGCGTCACAGGGGAGAAGCCAAATCCACTAAGCCTGAATACATATTATCTGAATGCATAAGATCAGGCATACAAATGATTTATAAGTGCCTTCCAACCTACTAGGAGGTAAAGGAGGGACAATCTGCAGACAGTTTGGAACTGATAACCTCTGATAACGGCTAGGGCTGGGTATTGATTCAGTTTTATCAAATCGATTTGATTCAGTTCACAATTCTGTCATGATTTGTGTCTGTGCTTATGATTTATTCTAAGTTTTCTATCTTTCCCTCCTGTTGTCTTCCTCCTGTCTGCCTTTGCTCTAGCCCCGCCCACTCACACCTGATCCTCTTGTTTCTTCCCCAGGTGTTTCTTGTTTTAGCTCATTAGTTCTTCCTTTAGATTATGTCCTTTATCCTCAGTCTTTGTCAGATCATTGTTCTCTGTGTACTGTTGTCTCATGCCAAACCAAGAATCTTGTTTGCTGCCAAGTCAGCGCTTTTGTTTTTGTTGATTTAATAAACTTTTTATGCCACTCTCAGTCTTGCATCCTGGGGTTCAAACCAACCAAGGTCAACCGTAACAAATTCACAACGGTTCATGATTCGGTTTGATTTATTTTTAAATTAGTTAAAGATACCAAGCAGAAACACATTTATTTTGATATACAGTATAAGACATTCTTAAAGGAACTAAATTCTGCAAATAGAAACTAATTCTAACTTGGTGCATTGGTAAAATGATAAACATTAAGGGCAAACTTGTAAATTGGAGTTTAATCTTGAAAAAAACTGTCTCAAGTTACAAAGAGTTTAAACTAAAATGAATTGCAAGAGAAAGTGTTGCTGGATATATTAGTTTTTTAGAAACTAAGAGTAATTTTCTTGATCACTAAGAAGTGATGGGAATAAGGTTACAGGAGAAGTGGTGGGATAATATAAGTGTATATGAAAGGCAGCAGAAGAAAAGGGTCTTGATTTCTGCTCCTATTTATAAAAAAATATTAATTTCAAATAATAATAAACCAAATAAAAACTAAACAAAAAATTCAACTCCTCAAACAATAACTCATACAAATACAAATTAAACAATTTTATATTTCTTTAACAATTTTGCTTTGATCATTTTTTAAAGGAATTAATTGATCTAATGGGTTTATAATCATTTTCCAGATTATTCTACGGTATAGTCTTTTACAGCAGCCAGCTCACTTTGTCATACCAGGACAGCTGAAAAGACCTGTTACTTTTCTCCACCTTTTGCACCAAATTAATCTGAGGAGCTCATCAGCCCTGCTGTTTAACTCTAAGTTTTTCTTTGTAAGGAAAACTATCAAATGGCTTCACCAAAATCTGGTCCACAGTGTTCAAACTGTCTGACATTATGTGCAGCTTGCTAGCTGGGACTGGCGCGAGGCTAGAGTGAAGCGTGTCCGTCTGTGAGTGCTTTGTGACGGTGAAGGGGCTCAGCAGCTCCTGCTGGACAGAAGAAGTCAGAAAGAGTGACAGAAGTCTGTCTCCAAACACAAGCAGATACAAAACAACTACCAGAAATAGAAGTTTGATTTGTTACTAGTCGTTTTCAACAAAGAAAATGCTGCTAAAAGAATTAATAAAGTCTCCGGTTCAACTCAAAACAGAAACAAAACTAAAAACTGCTCCCACTGAACGTTTACACCAAAAGATCGCTGATTCGCTCATTTAGCTGTCAATCAAAAAGGGATCCAGGCTAAGACATATCAAGCAATCATCATGCAGAAGCTGAGTGTCCAAGCCAGCCGAGGCCAGCCCACTTCCCCATAGACCCCCAGAGACGCTGAGCGTCCAATGGGTGAGACAAAGCCCAGCGTTTATCCAATGACTCGTCTCGTTTCGCTGCATTCTTTGCATCACTAATGAGCTCTGTGGAAGCTCAGCGTCCACTGTTTAAAGCTCTGTGAAGCTGTGGGAATGAGCCGCCTCATTACCAGTGATAAAAAGCTGATTCCGAACAAAAGTTGAGTGCGTTGTAGTGCACATTTAGTCAATGACATGAACACAGAATAGTTTATATTTGATCTTTTTTTACATTTTAGGGGAAACTGAGCTTCCCTTGCAGTCTTAGAGCAGTCACCTCTGGTGTGTGTATGTGAAAAGCTCTCATGAATCTTGGCTAAGGTTTGATCTGCTGACATGCAGAGAATGTATAAAAGGCATGAGAGCTCTTTTTCGGGGTTCTCGTTCTTGGTTTGTTCTCTGTTAAGTTTGACTGTCTGAGAACCACGTAACTTCAATAAACTCCCTCATGCTGGCCATCAGCCAAGTGTCATCTGCATGTTAATGATCTAAAGAAACAACAACATGATAAATGCAGCAAACTAAGCTAAGTAAGACACGGTACACTCATCAGTGGTATGGAGAACCGCTGAGACCAATTAGTTCACCAGCCACTCAGGATCTGTAAGAAGTGACTGTTAACGAGTTAAATTTAAGCAGCTGGCTCTTCCTGGAAGGAGGAAAATTAAAATGGAAAGCAGTAGAAGAATAGACAATACAGAAATACAACTAAAATAATCTGAAATAGGTTCGACTCCCCGCCATGCCCACATGTCGTGGTGTCCTTGAGCAAGACACCTAACCCTAACTGCTCCCTGGGCGCCTCACATGGCTGCCTGCTGCTCCACTTGGGTGTGGATGGGTCAAATGTAGAGCACAAATTTCGTCTTTGTGTGGAAACATACACTGATGATCAATAAAGCACCTTTACCTTGGTCCACTTGTTTGGTCCGGACCAAAAGTGGACTTTATTTTTTTCATTTGGTGTGGTTTACATTCACATTGTACTTTTTTGCAAATGAACTATAAGTTGTAAACAAAGCCATGAGGTTGACGATCATTGCTCCCACTGGACAGAAAGGACGGGGTGGGGCTGAGCCACAGACCCAGAAGAAAACAAGGAAGTTCTGTGTGTTGCGGTTCTAATGTACACATTTATGCTGATAGTACAACTGTAATAGCATTTAAAATGTCAAAAGCAGGTAATTTAATGGTGGTTTCATGATGATATTCTAATTTTGGAGTGACATCAGTAAATGTGTCCCGCAATCCAAAGGAGACGAGGTGTTCTGCATGTTCTGACCCACAACATGCTGCAGCAGAGCTGCTAACAGGAGACGATGAAACAGGTTTGATTTCAGTTTATTTAGCTCAGCAATGGTGGCCTGTGAGGTCCAAAAAGGTGCATGTTTAATGCAGTTGGTTCGGTTAGAGTCCGGTCTGTATTCACACCAGAGGAGAACTGAAGTGAACCGCACCAGAGTTCGTTTGGAAACGGACCGAGACCACCTCAAAAAGCAAGTCTCGGTCCGGTTGTTTGATCCGCACCAGAGTTCGC